GACTTTTCAACCAGAGTCCAGTCTTATGGCCCAAAACCTCACTTTGATGACAGAGAACCTGGACGTTGGGGTTTTATTTTCAGAACAGCATGAAAGCTTATTTAATTCCTCATACAGACCAGGAATATTTTAGCTAGGAGAATAGATAACAGTATTAAATTCATGTGATGCAAAATCACAACCACAAACAAAAGTTTTGGAAAAGAAACCAGCTGATGAACAAAGTCTGGCCATCTGTTTGTAAATTTTCCACTGATATTCAGTAGCTAATTGTTTTATTATCCTCCAGTGTTCATCTGAAGACAAGCTAGAGCTGTGCCAACAACATGGGAGAAATGTCAAACTTTTTCTTTTTTCTGTAATGCAGGATAATGGTACCATTAATTTTAGCTGTAGCTTACTTTAGTTGGAATAGTTCCAGGTCCATCGTATGCAAAATTAAAAGTTCCTTTCCTAAGAGGCAGATACAGCAAGTAGAAATTTCCTAAGACCCATTTCTAGGGAATTGAAACTGTAAGTACTTTGACAGACCATTCCTTTTTCCTGAGAATCAATGCATGGTACGTGTTTCTTGCCAGACTCCCCTTCTATCCACAGCTCCATGAAAGTCAAATAAGGAAAGGAGGTGTCCAAATAAAAAGAGTCCACATTCCCAACAGTTTTGTCTCAAAATACATCATCTGAAAGTCTCGAACATTAGGGTGACCCTCAAATCCTTTGAGAGAGAGGAAGCAAAACCCTGAATTTGGCCCATATAGAACCTCTGCTGGGTTGCCTTTTTAGTCAGGTATATTATCCATATGCCAATTTCTCAGATTCTAAAGCTTCTTTAAGATGGCAGAAATCTTTCTTTTTAATTTTTCCTATCCCTCAACCACTATCTATTTATTGTATCCCTATTCCTGTCTTTTCCTTTCTCAACTCAACATCTGACTTAAGGTTGTAGCAGAAGGAATCTCTCTATAACATATACTGTCCACTGTGTCCCTCTCTTAGAAGTTTTGGACTTGAGACCAAAAGAGCCATCCATTCTCTTACGGGGGAATTACCTGTTGATAACTACATGTTCTCTAATCTGGAGAGACTCAGCCTTAGAGTAAGAGAGAAAGATAAATAAGTAAAGCTCTATAGAGAGGGACAAAATAAAAGCTAGAGTGCCACCCGTCTTTGTGATTGATCCTCTGGTGCTCATTTTTTCTGTCCCGACTTTCCCTGAGATCTTAATCTCAACACCATGAAATAATACCACTTTGTGTTACTGAAGCAAAATCCTAAAAAGAATATTAGCAAAAATAATTCAGTAGTAAACTAAATCAGAATTACACCATAAGCAAGTTCAAGTCATTATATGAATTCAAGGATATTGCTAATTTGGATATATATCAACACATTAATATGCCAAAAGTTAAAAAAAAACACTTTAAAAATGCCAAAATTTTAATAAAATTCAATATCTCCAATAAAATCTTTCCTAAAAGTAGAATAAGTTTGGTTCTTTTTTACGATTTATTAACTTAAATGAATATTCTTTTTTTTTAAGCTTTATTTATTTATTTATTTAGAGAGAGTGGGAGCACAAGCAGGAGGGGCAGGAGAGAGAGAGAGAGAATCTCAAGCAGACTCTGTACTCAGTGCACAGCCCAACACAGGGCTCCATCTCAGGACCCTTAGTTCACGACCTAAGCTGAAACCAAGAGTGGGATACCTAACTGACTGAGCCACCCTGGCGCCCCTTAAATAAGTATTCTTAAATGTAAAGAATATCTTTCAAATTGAAACTTGATATCACATTTAATGGTAAAATCTAAGAGCCATTTACTCCTTTTCTCCTCACAAAATCATTCCCTACCACTTATATTCTACTGCAGACCCATCAGGAAGAGAGGGACTTGACCTTACACAGGCTTGACCTTGTACTTGGATACTATTCTATCCCAGCCAGAGGGAAAGCATCCCTTTCCCCCCAGCAACCACTCAGCCAATGAAAAGCCACCATGCTTTGAACTCCCGGTTTACTCCAATTGGTCTTTTAGTTCATAACAGCCTTCCCAGCTTACTGCTTTTCTCCTCAAAAAGACAGACCTCTCCTTTGTTCCTCACACTCACCTATGGTTTTGCCTCAACTTACTTGTCCCATATTGCAATTCTCTTTTATTCCCCAATAAACCCATTTTTTGCTGGTAAGATCATTGGTGGTTTTTATTTTTAAGGTTAACACTTCTAATGCCTTCCCATTGATCCTCAAATCCAAATTACTTCATAAAGCTTCACAAGTTTCCATCTCATACAACAAAGGAGCACATACAAATGAAGCATTCAGCAGGGCAGCCGACACACAGTAAGTATGCAGTAAGTAGTGGTGATTACGACCGCCGTCACCCTTGTCACCTCACTGGCCTTGCCATCACCACTGTCATCATCCTCCACGTCATCAGAGTGGAGAGTTGTCGATATACTAACCTTAGAGTTCCGCTGAAGGCACAAGCTACGAAGAGTCCGGGCAGTCCTGGCATCGTGGAAAATATCTCCATGACAAAGTATGGCATCAGCTGAAAGAGGTAAAACAAGGTAGGATTAGTGGCCTTAGCAGCAGAGTCTGAAATGTGAAAACATCACTTTTTAGCAAAAGGAGGTGGGAAAAAAAGACAAAAAAATAAAATAGAGGAATTTGCAAGGACTCAGGTTGTTACATGCTGGCAGTTGAGGTTATGATTAATCAGACTTCATGGACCTGAGGTCCAGCTCCAGCTGGAGGGGAGATGGAGGGGTGGGCAGGGTCAGCTGATATTAGGGAAAAGGGTTGAATGGACTTTAGAAGGTTCAGGAACTTGTTTTATTTCTCCTATGTTTGTAATATATGCCATTTTCTTGCCTGTCTACCCTTAATGTTAGCAGTTAAATCCTAACAACAAATGCTTAAAACTCATCTTCAGGGAATGTAGGTATTATGGTTCTACCTTGTAGTCAGATTTGTGAGAGAGGAGCCCCCCTGGGACAGAGGGGACAGTGAAATATAGAGAGGGGAGAGAAGTGATGGTTCCTCTTGAACACATCCTCCATAAATGGAGTTTTTGAAAGCACTTTTTTAATTTAATTTAATTTTATTATGTTATGTTAATCACCATACATTACATCATTAGTTTTTGATGTAGTGTTCCATGATTCATTGTTTTTGTATAACACCCAGGGCTCCATGCAGTACATGCCCTCTTTAATACCCATCACCAGGCTAACCCATCCCCCCACCCCGCTCCCCTCTAGAACCCTGTTTGTTTCTCAGAGTCCATAGTCTCTCATGGTTCGTCTCCCCTTCCGATTTCCCCCCTTCATTTTTTAATGTAGTATATTGGGGTGATGGTGTTTAAGCTATGATGAGAAGACATGAGCAGAAGCTTTATAGAATTAAAGGTCATTTTCTTCGATTTGAGAATAAAACATCTTTAATCAACCTTGAGACACATAGAAAAAAAGAATTGAAAAGCCGCATCGACAACCAAAGCCATGGGTTCAAGCCCAACTTCCACTCTCCCCAGCCTTGCCCTGGCCCCTGGCCCCTGGCCTTATCTTCATGGACAAGGTGAGATACCTTTTTACGTGTCACGCCACCATTTTAGAACCTGGTGTGTGGTGATATCACCCAAGAGGAGAGGAAAGAAATCAACTCTCTTGGGCTTAGGAAGTGGCTTGAGATCCAGGTGGAAAAAAAGGAAGAACCCATATTACTCATTCATGGCCAGAAACCATAATACTCATTATGAACTCACTCATCTCAGCTGTTTCCCCACTGGTCCCAAGGGAACACATACCTGGTCTGGTGCTGAGATAATCCCAGAAGTCCAAGGGTCACAATCTTTGAAGTGGGAGTACATGATTAAGCCAGAGAAGACAGCACACACCAGAATGATCCAAAGACCCAACAAGTTAAAATACAAGGCTCTAGAAAAGAACACAAAGATCTATTGTTAACCTCTACACCATATTACAGTATGATAAAGACATCACCAAAACTCCATGGTAAAAATTTTGGGGGATTTTTGCTATAAAATAAAATTCCACAGCCTTCAAGAATCATTACACTTTATACATTTGCAATTTTTTTTGTTTGGGAACGTTACACTTTTAGACTGATGACAAAATTTGAATGAGGTAGATTTTTGATGGCTTTTCTTTTGAAATCAGGAGTTTTTCTGCAAAATCTCAATGTGTGGTGGATGAAATTTCACATACCAATCACTCATATTATATAACATACAGTGATTTTTCCCCCCACTCAATTCATAAAACTGTCAAAAAGTGAACTTACATTTTAACACCTTTTCTTCCAGAGGGATAATGAGATAAATGTAGAAGTAGACACATTTTGGAAATAATCACTTTGGAGACTGATTTAGATGAAATTTAAAGTTGAGGGTTTTTTTAAAAAAAAAAAAAGATAATAGAAAGTATGCAAAACCTAAGGTCATTTTACCCATATTCTGGGGAGCAATTTGTTTTATTTGTACAACACAGAGATACACTTAATTCCAGTTTGAGTGCTCTGGCAGTCTCCTATGGTTATTTTTTATTCATTGTTGGTTCTTGAAAGTCAAAATATTACTAGTGTTCAGGGTTTTTTTTTTTAAAGATTTTATTTATTTCCTTAGAGAGAGCGTGGGCGGGAGGCAGAGGAAAAGGAAGGGAGAGAATCCCGGGCAGTCTCCACGCCCAGCACAGAGCTCAACACAGGGCGCATCTCAACAACCTTGACATCATGACCTGAGCAGAAATCAAGAGCCAGACGCTTAACCGACTGCACCACCCAGGCGCCCCACTAGTTTTCTTAATCTCAAGGAAGACTTGAAAGTGGGCTGGCTTTATATAAACAGCCTCATTCTGGAGAGTTTCAAAGGGCCAGGAGAGCAACAGTGGGAATTTTCTTGGATCAAGTCATTGTTCGAAGGGAATCAGATACATCCACATTTAAATATAAGGACACACATTAATTTCAAAGCCTCCGAAAACCCATACTGTACAGGTGTACCTAGCTTTCAGAAAACCCTTGAGCCAAACTACTCATTTATGAAGCAAATCTGGTTAAATTATTCTCTCATTTGGAAGTTTCTATTTCATACTATTTACATTAGAAAAGGGACTTATCCTAGAAGTTACTTCCTTTAGAGTTTTCTAACAATGTTTCTTGTGGGGTTGTATTGGTTTGTTTTTGTTTAGAGGGGTTGATTTAAAGAGAGCCTTTTGGGAATACAGTTAATACATGAGGTGGTCAATACCTATTAACTGCATTGATTGTACTCTTGCTATCCTCCCTTCTGGGCAGCTTGATTCAAACCTTTACTTAGGCCACCTCCTAGAGAGCCTTCTCTGACCATCTTTATCTGAAATAGTGCGTTTCTGCTCTCTTACCTGTTTCTACTTCTTATACTGTTTTACATCTTTACAGCACTTATCATTATCTAAAATTGTATAATATATTCATTTGCTTATTATTCGTTTCCCCCACTCAAACAAACACAGTGCTATAGAATTGTGCTGGCACATAGCAGACATGAAATTATTTTTGGTAATAAATAATTGAATGAATGAATGAATGAATGGTAGAAATTCAGTACAATATGATTATATTCCTCATATCATTTATTTTTTTAAAAGAACTTTGGGCCGTGAATCAGAAGACTTTATCCTCAATAACCATCTAATGTTAGACAAGTCATGTGACACTCTGAGGCAGTTATATCATCTGTAAAGAGAGTGTTAGCACACCTGCTCTACTTCTATTATGGGACTAGTATGAGGAATGAGTGAGTTACATTCTGTAAAAAGAGATGTAGGTTATATAGCCATACATTCATACATCATCCAAAACAGTTTTAAGCTTCACCAGTCAACTATGGGAAATGAGAAACCAATGGCAAAATTGTATTGAATGTTAAAGTCCTTGTGTTGTGAATTTGTTTTTCATTAGAAATGGACTTTGATTCTTTACAGAATCTTGTAACTTAAGCCACTTCATCGATTCATTCAAAAAATATTTATCAGGCATCTCTATATTCCAGGGTCTTCTAGGTCCCGGGGTAAAGCAACGAGCAAACACAGAACCCACCCTCACGGAGGTTAAATTCTGGGATTGGAAACAAATCATCACTGAAATGAAATAAATGAATACAATGATTTTAGATATAAATGAGGAAAATAAACTAAGGCAGTAGGAAGAGAACAAAAGTGACTTGTGTGGGTGTGCTCGTCTTAGCCAGGAGATGGGATGGAGATGGGAAGGGACCAGAGAACATGCATCAGCCCCTATTACCCTCATGGCACCTTTTATGATCAGCAATCTTTAAAGATAAACTGGGGTCTAGAAACAAGAGGAGGTGAAGTCAGCTTTCAGGGAGCACATCTAAAATCACATGGTGGGTGATATTATTTCCAGGTGTGAGCAAGGTCAATAAAGCTTAACATCAATCAGTGATGTGAGTAATTCATGAGTAAGTAATCCGCATTCCTGGCCATGAAATTATATGCATATATAATGAGTCGCTCCTGGTTTTAACCCATGGACACGTTCAGTACGAACGTTATGGATCTATTTTCACCTACGTATGTTTCAGGATGTATTTTCCCCAAGTAGCAGAGCTTTCCTTAAACTCTGATGGAATATTTTAATGACACCAAGCCCTCAGATAATTGAACAGAAGTAGAGCATTTAATCAACATCCTGCACAGCCTCCTAGGTGAGAGCAAACTGGCAGCTGGCTCTGAGTGGCCTCCTGTTGCCCCCATAGTGACCTTGAGGCCTCAGCTGTGTGACAAATGACACATCCCCACTGCGGGCTTCCTTCCACCTGCATGCACTTCAACTGGACTGGCCATTTTGACTGATTTCTCTTTTCTGAACTGTAGTAACTAAATCAATTTGGATTCTCTCAGGGCAGTCTTTTCTAAAGAGAATTTTTATTTTTCCATCTTTCCTTATTCTCACAAAATTCCTGTCATAGCTTTGGTCCTTCCATAGAAGTGGGGATGGGTGGAAGCAGGAGTTGCAATCCTAAATGCTTAGGAAAGTGTGTACATTTTTTCTCCATGAATATCTCTCCTTTTCTGACAGTTTTCATACTCATGTAATAAATTCCAAACCCCAAGCAACTATTATGAATGTAATTGTATCAACTTTTGCTTGATTTAAACTAACTCGCTAAATGAGTCTTAAAGATGCAAAACACGAGCACACACTCAGGAGTACACACTGTTATTGTTGTAATGGGGGAAATGAGATATGTTCACAAGAAAAAATAATATAACACAAATACATAAGATTAAAAACAATCTAGATGTAGCAGAGAATTATTGTTTATTTCACCAAAAGATCCTTTTAGAGATACAGTCAACTCTATTTTAAGGCAGAATTTTAAATGAATTTTAATTTTATCTATTTATTTTTGTGAAGTAGGCTCTATATCCAATGTGAAACTTGAACTTACAACCCCAAGATCAAGAGTTACATGTTCTACCAACTGAGCCAGCCAAGTACCCCTAAATGAACTTTAATTTTAAAGGAATTGTGAGATCAAAGTCACACTTGATCTTAAATACATTTCCAGTAATTCAGCTATTTGATAAAGTGATGATCTTGTATGGAGGGTTTGTTAACATTTATTGTAATAGGACATGAATATGTTATCAGCAAATTAATGGAATACTAGATATAATGCGTTCAATTCTTCCTTCTGCGAGTGTATGAAATATATAAGAAATATAGTCTCTTTTGGAATTCAAGTTACAAAACAGTGAACCATGTCCCAGCAATGTTATCTTCTATTCAGCCTATGCATTGAAATTATTTTAAAATCAGTTGGGGAAATATTCACCGTGGCTATTTCTCACTCAAAGAAAAGTTAAGGACATCCCGACAAATCTGGGGATGCTGGAAATTTGGACAGAACAATGAGGATAAAATGTCCATTTTAGATGCATGTCTAGCTTATTTCTGCCAGGTCTGCAGAATAATACAGAACTTCCTTCAATCCCCATTCTACGGCACGGGATGCCTTGCAGGGCTTGGAAGAGGCTTCCCAAGCTGTGCCCCTGCTGGGGTCTGTCAGGGCGAGCGCGCCTGGCAAGACTGGTGACTGCCAGCTCAGCGGGAGCTGGGTTGGCAAAAGCCCCATTGTGACTTACCTCATTACCTTGGCTTTCCTTCTTTTAAACCTCTCCTTGGAAAATTTAAGGATATATCCATCAAAAGAAAAATAGAAGCTGAATTGATTGAGACCACAGGCTGAATCAAGTTAGTCATAAGGGCTATCTCATCACAGAAACTCTGAGGAGGCAAAACATGCTTTTTACCTCTGCATTGCCACCCAGGGCACCTAATTTCGCCTAGTAAGTTCTCAGTAAGTGCAGGCAGCAAATGGTGTAGAGAAGAGCAAAGGCAGAGAGACGGAAGTTCAAACCCACTTCCTTGCTGAGATGGGAGTAGTAATGCCTGCCTCAAAAAATTGCTTAGAGGATTAAATAAAACTTTCCATTTCTCTCTGACACACACACACACACACACACACACACACGGAAGCATATAATAAGTACCCAATAAAGGCTAAGAAAACTGAAATGTTTATTTATAACTTACAGTTTTGCATGTTTTTCTGTTTTGCAAGAGATGCATCGCTGTATGGTGGACTGATTAACTCCATAGATCCCAAGCCATGTAAAAGTTCCTCCCACCGAGATTGTCCAAAAAGTGTGGCGCCTGAGAGGATCTACATCAAAGCTATGAGGCAGAGAGAATTGAGTGAACAAAGATGTTCCTTTGATGCCCAAATATTATTTTAGTTATTGAGGGTATATAGCTAAATCTTTATAGAACACGAAAAACTAGTATTGGACGTACTCAAATATATTTAGTCGAGATCCATTTGTTGATTGCTCTATGACATTGTGTAATCCACCAGCATGAGCTGATCCTTGAATGAGAACTGTTAAAAATCCCACAATCATGACAATCATCTGAAATGTATCTGTCCACACCACTGCTTTTAATCCTCCCTGAAATGGAGAGAATAGATGTGAGTTTTCGCAAAGGAAGGCTGCAAGTCTTCCAATTCTTTACAACCTCTCTGCTGATACAATCTTTTTTCCTTCCTTCCTTCCTTCCTTCCTTCCTACCTTCCTTCCTTCCTTCCTTCCTTCCTTCCTTCCTTCCTTCCCTCCCTCCCTCCTTTCTTTCTTTCTCTCATCTTTCTTTCTTGATCTATGTTATGAAGAATGAGTAGGAATTTACCAGGTACAGAGGACAAGAGAGGGGAACCACATATGTGAAGGATGGAGATGCATGGCTGCCTGGAGAAATGAAAGAATGCTAGAATATATAGATTGAGGCATATACAGAATGCCCAAAGGGAGGTTGCTGAATTTGCTAGAGGCCAGAACCCATGGGGTTTGGCAAGGCTACTTAAATGATTTCTTAAGAGCAATGAGAAAGCATTAAAGAGATTTACATGATGAGAGATTTTATTTGTTCGCTTCATATTGGTTTCAAGGGTGGTTGTGTGGATAACAGATTTCTAGACCAAGGAAAAGAAGGAGTGAGAGATATACTCAGAGTTGATTTCAGTAGTCTGTGCCCAAGAGGACAGAGGTTTGAAGCAGGTTTGCAGCAGGGTAGAGATGGAAAGAAATGGATGGACTTGAAAGATAACTGGGAGGTCAAATCAACACAACTTGTGAATAATTGAATACAGATGATGAGGAAGTGGGGAATTTAAGGATAATCATCTCGGTCTGGCTTATACAAACATGAGGGTTTTTTTTGTTGTTTTTTGTAAATTTAGTGACAGTAAATAAATTTGGGGGAACTGAGATGCTACAATGCTGAGAAAAAAGAAAAGAACTAGGAAAGAATGATAGATTCCAGACATTCATGGAGAAAGGAGTTTTAAGAGCTAGACGATGGTCAAAGAGTGAGGTGGGCAAGGCAGACTTTGCGGAGGATAAATCTCACAGCAGAACTCAGGACAGAGTGATGAGGGAAGAGGTTAGTGTGTTGGTTATCAAAACTGGATCCTCTGTAGAATACCTTGGGGAATTTGAAAACAAACAAACAAACGCCAATGTCCTAGCACCCAAGGATTCTGAATAAATTGAAGTCTGGGTTGGGATCCAGTCTTAAATATTTTTCTGAAAGCTCCCACAGGGATTCTAAAGTACAATTCTAGTTGAGAACACATGGGCAAGAGGAGGCGAGAAAGAGGCTCCTGAAGTAATCCAGGTATAGAATCCCTGAGGACCACAGTGAGGTGGAAGGAGCAAATTGGGAAAGATTAAACGAAGTGATATAAAAAAAAAAGTGCTTTGAAAATGAATAAGCACTATGAGAATGGAAGGATGTGGTATTTTTAACATTGAAAAATAGAATTGTCATCCTCAGTTACTCCTCCAGAGTGTCAAGAACTTCTGCAAAAAGATGACAGGTTTCATCTTCATCTTGAGAAGAAAGAAGACGTTGGGGTTGTCCCACCATTTCTTTTGTAATTAGAATGCAATTTGATAAATAGACATTAAAGTCCCTGCCTGAGGCATTGTATTTGTATATTGTGTTCACATCCTGACTTGAGGAATAATCAATATTTACCTTCTACATCCCAGGTAATAGTATTGTGATTTTCTCTAAAGACATTAAGCCTAAATCCAAATCACAACATCAGATTTTAGTGATATGAAGACCAAATGTCACAGAGCTCAGTTTTCAGCAGCTACTTGCTATTGGTTATGCAAAAATATGCATAAACCTTATGGTTTAAACTTAACTTATGGTTTAAACTTAACTTATGGTTTAAACATAAACCATAAGGTTTATGCATATTTTTGAACTTCAGCTAGACATGAGGCAAGAGAACAAACCACTTTATCAAATGTACATCAAAAGACAGATTATAGGGGCCTCTGGGTGGCTCAGTTGTTAAACGTCTGCCTGCAGCTCAGGTCATGATCCCAGGGTCTTGGGATGGAGCCCCGTGTCGGGCTCTCTGTTCAGCGGGAAGCCTGCTTCTCCCTCTCCCACTCCCCCTGCTTGTGTTCCTTCTCTAGCTTTGTCTCTCTATGTCAAATAAATAAATAAAACCTTCCAAAAAAAAAAAAAAAGAAAGATTATAGCCACCATGAAAATTTCTGACTCTATAACTTCATCTGTGAGACACGCCCCCCAAAACACATACCCTGACCTACAACCCTGATCGAGCAGTGTCACTGATGTATTTAATCAGTCTGTGTTGTTTGAAATCTAATGTTTACTTCACTAGATTGCAAGCCCCTGAATGGCAGGAATCACTTATTGTTTTAATCTCTTCCACCGTTTATCTCGGATACGCAACCATCCGCAGGATGTTAGAGAAACTGCAGCATGAGCACCACGTGTTGGACAAATAAGCCACCATTGTAGTGGGATCGGAAAGCCTGTAGCCTGGCTAGAGAGAGGAAAGATGGGACAGAGGTGCGGTAAGGGATTAGATGGGCGGATTGACTCACATCATGAAAGATTTCCAACACTAGGCTAAGAGGCCTATACTTTATCCTGGGAACAATAGGAAGTGAGAAGAGAATTGGGTCAGTTAAGTGGCATGAAGTAATAGGTGATTAAGATTAATCTTCCAGAGGCATGCGGAGTGGAGAGAAGCACTGAAACCAATTAAGAGGTAGCAAATTTAGCTCATTTTAGCTTATTGCGATTATGACAATATCCAGACTTGTTTCTGACATTACTTTTCATTTCTATTTGTGCTTTCTCTGTTTTTGTCCTCTTCTCTTGCTTAAATCACTTGAGGTTTTGTTTTGTCTTGTTTTAATTCCCTTTTTTCCACTTTGACATTTTGTTTAAATGGGTCCCCTTGAAATTTTGCTACAAATTTTTAAGTTAGAGTCTAAATTTAAAGAATGTCTTAATCCCCAACAATTCAAAGATAATAAAATTGTCAACTCTGATTACTGTCTTCTTGATTTACATGCTATTGTTGTCCAAATGAGGGTTATTCTTTTTCTTAATCCCAAAATTACATATAATAATAATAAGTAGAAGTAGCAGTAGTATATTATATTATAAATTATAATATATAATTAGATATGTATGTTATACCATACTATACTATAAAATTACTTTTTTATCATCGAGCACCAAAAATTGCTTGACTAGACTTACTAAATGTTTACTATTTTATTTTCTTAACATTACTTCTTCTATCCAAAACTGGATCATTTTCTTTCTTCCCAAAGTACTTCCTCTAGGTTTTTCTCAGGGCAAGATAGATTAGTGGTAAATTCTCTTGGTTCTTGGCAGTTCCTAAAAGTTAGTATTGCTGAATACACAATTTTAGGTTGACAATTGTTTTCCATCAATGTTTTGAAGATATTATTTCACTGTTTCTGCCTTCCATTATTGTTGCTAAGAAGGCTGCCTTCAGTGTCCCTGGCAATGTGTCTAGTCATCCTTGTATGGATAGATGCCTTGGAGCAACTAATCTGTCACATATGGCCAGACATATAAGGAGCAGGAGCTTATTTTTAACCTAGGTAAGAGATGTGTGTCTGGAATAGAGCTATGGTAGTGAGAATGGAATGGAAAAAAAAAAAAAAGGCGAAACTCTGTAGTGCAAAAGAAATGGTGGGAATTGTGTGTATGAAAAGGACATTTTTAAATTGTATATTTCACGATCTATGTTCAAAGAGTATCTGATATACACACAACACCAAAATATCTGGATGGTCTGCTCGATGATAATATAGGATTACTTTGTTTTTCTCTATAGAGGAGGAAAGAAAATCCAGCTTTCTGAAAACCAGTGCCATATTTTTAACTGGTTACTTACAGCCTCTGTCTATGGATGCCAATGATTCAGAAGAATAAAGCTTCCCATTGCAAAGCATGATAAATAATAGGTGCTCGATGAATGTTTGTTGAACTAAACAGATTTTAACAATTACATAAATATGTTGCCAATACCACCCAGATTCCTTGATGAAAAACTGAGCATGTGTTAAGCCAAATGGTACTGTAATGCAAGTTTATCCATAAATAAGAAAAAACAACAAGCTGTGGAATCCTCAAGTTTACAAAATACCAGTTATCCTTGATCATTCATATATGCACTGTGCATTTCTCAATCACTAGACAGTGAAGTGTATGCTCTCCAGGGTTCATAATTACTGTTAACAAGCACATTGTTTTCTTGGCAGTTGCACATGGTCACTTATCCTCTGAGCAAGAAGGGATTTCTTCCATGAAATCTTTTCTTTGCCATGGCTTTCTCAAATGAGCCCAGAATCCAATTCTGCTAATGGCCCTGAAAGAATTTTAAATAAAAGAACAGCACCTTCCTCAGGAAACCGTGACAGAGAAGCCAGCAAATTTCTCTTTAATTTTGGAATAGCAATTTCTGCTATAATTAGATGCCCTGTTGTTGGAGGTTTGCCCTTATCCCATATTAGGAGATGGTGCTAAGTACTTTTTCACAGTTAGATACATACCAGGGTACAGTAGAATGTGCAAACAATTCCTGTTGCAAACACAGAGCCCCAGAGATCAAACCCAGTCACTAGAAAAGAAGAAAAAATATGAAAGAAGTTTCTCTGAGAAAAGTAGAAAATCAAGGTTCATGAGAAAAAAGTCACAATATTTTTGTCAGTGTTCTTTGTGGGCAAATTGAAATTAAATTAGAATTTTCTCTTATTACATTCACCTCTGATAAAGACTGTTTTATTACAATGTTATACTTCAACTCAGTCTATAGTTTTTAGGAAATGTTAAAAGCCAAATCTTTCCTCCTAAAATTCTGTTGCTTCTGGTCTTTGCACCAACTGTTTGTTTGCTTTTTCTTAACGAAGTTAGTCTGAGTACTTTGAAACCACCTAAACATCAGCCCTGAATAAATGTGTCTCAATATAAGTGCAGAGCATGATTAAATTGAATATTGAAGACTTCTAATATTATAGGTATTATTATGAAATTTATCTTAATCTTTTTTTAATTCTTGTTTCTAGGATTCTATTCCCTCAAAAAGGTCAAATATAAGTTTTAAAATAATTACTATGAGTACCTTTTACTCCTGTATTCAGATTATCGACTTCATGAAATCCCTGAGACAGGATCATACATTATAAACATCTTTAGTGGTTGTGTGTAGGCAATACCAAAACTGCCATCATTTCAGTGATTAAAAAACAGGCAAACAAACAACCGAATGACAATCAAACTGGGTGTTTGAAACCTTGTGGGCAAATCAAGTAACTAATTCTTTACCTTCTTTTCTCTCTCTCTTTTTTTGTTTTTTTAAGATTTTGTTTAAATTCAAGTTAGTTAACATATAGTATATTATTAGTTTCCGGGGGTAGAATTTAGTGATTCATCAGTTACATATTACACCCAGCGCTATTTTCAATGTTTGATTTTTGGAGCTCTCTATCGTGATGACTACAGTAATTGGAGCCCCCTAACCGCAGGAATGTCTCCCCAACAAGATGGATGTATATCTCTCAAGGTGAGAATGTAAGCATAAAAAGATGAAGAGTATCCAAGGGAGCATCAGTGACTCACCTTGATTGAGCGCTAGCGCAGGTGCATACACCACCACTCCTGTGTAGAGAATCTGGTGGGGAAGCAAGAGTCAAGTGAACAGTGTGAAAAGTGACACGGAAGGAAAAGCTGCCTCAAAGTTTCCTTACTGACCTTAGAGGGGTATTTCCTTCATCATGTCACTAAACATGTCATTGGCAACCACTCTAATCTTGAAATCGTTGATTACTGCCATTAGTGTGCAAAGCGGTTAATAAGCATTTGATGGAGGAAGAGCATTGGACTTTTAAGACTGTTGTGAATTTTGAGACTTTATGGATAGATATGGGGTATTTCTGAAGGAAACAAAGATAGGCTTCAAGGTAAGGTTTTGGTTCAACCTTTCTCTACCCACCCCCGCCCCCACGCGTAGGTCACAATGACTCAACCTCATTTCAGCACGCCGCTAAAATGCGGATTTTCGAACGGAGGCAGTACGGCCCAGGGAAGACGAACGTGGGTGATCTACTTCATGAGTACATCTTTGGACTCCCAGGGTTGCAGCCACTATGTTGAGGGAAGTAGGTGCAGTCTCATTTTTATTTTAAATGGGATTTCACCATTTAGAGATTCCTGTGAGGGTTTTAGGAGGCAAAAGTGTAGGAGGAGGTCAGGGAGCACTGCTTTCCTCCTTTTCTCTCTCTTAAATCCTTCAGTCAGTGATCCTTCAGTGGGAGTTTTGATTAAGAAAGGGAAGAAGGTTATTTTCCAGCAGAAAGTACATTGTGAGTTGTAGGAAGCATACCAACAGTGTGCCCCACAGGCGACCCTGGGGACAGCATGAAGGCACCCAGAGCTAGGAAGCAGGACAGGAGTCCCAAAGGGGAGAATGGGAGTATTGTATTTTTTTTTTTTTGGAGTATTGTCTTAAAATGACTTTCAACAAAATGGGCATTTCTGGTTCAACGCAGTTAACTAGTGAAAACCAGTTATTGGACCATTTCAAACCCAAAGCAATGTGTTTTTAATGCTATCTTTTTCCTTTGTGGTTTATAATATACATTTGTTTTTTACTTATTATTTGGATGAATATACGGGGTCTGTACAATGTGGATAACTTTCAATGTAATCACATATCTCGAAAGTGCTATCCTCGGAAGAAAGTAGTTTCTTCTTAGTGCTAAGTCTGTCCCTTGGTTGCATTCATTGCCCTCCCCACCCCGGAGTAAACAAACCCATATCTTGTCACCCCACACTTTCCACATCTGTAGCAGCCCTTCCCCCTTACCGTCTGCACAATATAGATGACAGTGGCCGCATAGCGCACTGGTTTATTGAATCGTAGCTGTAAGTACTAGAAAGAACAGAGAGAAGGACAAGCGAAGAGTCAGTGAGTTATTTACATAAGAGCTGCTAAGAAGGTTCTTTTCTCTTGTATTCCATTATGTCTAGTGCTTTGGATTTATAATATGATTTTATGCTATATATACTTGAGAGAACCAGAAAAATATGGATTGTTTGAAGTCAAAGAAATATCAGAGCTCTATTAAAGCTCAATTCTTGCTTAAGCTTCTCATGATAGAGAAAATAAATGCTTTTTATTTTTAAATTTTTGTTGTTTGAATAAAAATCCAGATCCTCTGGCTTTCTACCCAGGGGTCTTCCCACTGACTATACTGACGCCACTGTTTCCTTTTATATCCCATTCCCCCCAGTTTAGCCCAGACCTATATTCCCTCTTTCCCAGGTGACTCCCTCTAATTCCAATCCTTGCCCATCCATTCCATCAACCACACATCTGCCACATTGGTTCTCCTAGAGCAAGGCTCTAATCATGTTGCTCTTTGTCTTAAAACCTTCAGTGACTCTCTATCATTGACAAAGTGTACACCCCACACTTGATATTCTCTACTGTCTGATCTATACCCTTCCTAAGTCACACCACTAGCCCTCCCATTATTTATTCTCCACATAAAATCACTGTGTGTTTTTCAATCAACATGCTTTGTACTTCTCAGACTTTTGTTTTCTTTGCCCTGCTCAACCCTTACCCTGAGAAAATAACTATCTTATTTGTAGACCCTCCTTCTTCAGATGATAGATTTAGTACACTGTGAGTTAGTCCAGTGGGTGTGTGACTGAGGGCACCAGATATAAGGGAAAATATTCTTAAAGAGGTAAAGAAGTCAGTGAGGAGTCAAGTCTCAGATGTCATGGGATGGAAAATGATGCAAAACTTTTGTGGTGAGGACAACTTAGGTTCAAATCATACACCTTTGGAAGGATTCATTTAATGCACTAAACAATGGCTTTCTTTTCTAAAATTGGTGCTTATAAGGCTCCAGTGACATAGTATATGATAATGCCAAGTACAAGCACAAGAATATAGTGGGATCTTAGTGACTGTAACAGTCACTGTGAGTGCAATGCCTGAGCTTACTGGCACTCACTATTCCAGTACATGCTGATGGCTTCTAAATGCACCTGTGATCATTTGCTTAAGGGCTTTATTTCAGCCCTTGCATGGGGTAGGCTAGAAGTGCCTGGGGGTGTTATCATTGGCTGAAAGCCAGTGACCCAAGGGAGTTAGACAAAAAATATTCAGGCTTCTTTGCCGGTCAGGAAGGACAACCCTGAGACATGATCTGTATGTCTTCCAGAGGTCCGCAGTGAGACTGAACCTCAATTGCTCACAGTAGTAATCTGTTCAAAAACACACATTTTATTGGCTTCATTTCCTTCCATATTTTAATTGCCACTTACCTACCAATGTTAAATGAAATACTTCCCCCAAAATGACTTGCATTCAAATCCTTGTCTCAGGGTTTGCTTCTGGGGGAACATAACTTAAACCAAATATAATGTAAGTGGTGACTTTAAAAATGCTTGTGTAAAAAGTTGTGTCCTGCTGATGGGAACTTTTTTTCCCCGTGACATAAAAGAACTCAAGACAGCCTGCTGGAGGATAAGGCCAAGTGTGATATAAACAATTTGTCTCATCTGAGTTCCTCTAGACCTACCAGTCACTAGCTAATGCATTAGCTGATGGCAGTCATATACAAGGCCACAGTGAGACCAGGAGGAGAACCTTACTATTTTACTGGACCCTACTGAGCCCACACCAAATTGCTGACCCATAGAATTGTGAGCAAATAAAATTGCTGTTCTAAGAAATTTTGGGGGGTGGGGAGGGTGATATGTTACACAACAATACATAAGTAATATAAAAATTGGTACCAGGAGTGGAGAAATGTTGTAACAAAGCCCCAGAATAATGCAGTATTGGCTTTGGGGCTGGGTGGCACCTGAGGTTTGGGAAAGCAAAGGGGAAATTATTCCCCAAAAATGGAAAGATAATGGGGAAACTGCTATAGGAATCTTCACAAAGTCAAGGGTTTTAACATCTCACTTTAGTTCCACTAAATTCAGCCAATTCAGTCCAACTGGAGAGGCAGTATTGAGAAAAAGATATGTGAAGTAAGACTCCCTGAATTTTAGTTTGAGCTTTGCCACTGTGACCTAAGCCTTTGGTTTCTCATCCATGAAACAAGAGACAATTCCAACTGTGTAATAATCCACCTGAAAGAATGTATTTACCCAGCCTTTCAATTACTCCCTCCCTCACTCAATGGTCCTCTTGGGTGTGTATTTATCTATCACTACAATCAGAAGTAAAAATGGAAGTTCAACCAAAGAGTTGCATGCTTCATGCCTGTGTTTGAAAAAATTGCACAGGTAACACTTCCCATCATTGTATTTGATTATTTTCAAAACCCCAGGCCTGATAGAGCCATATTTTCTTCCATCTCAGTGAATAATAAGTCCACTTCTCATGTTGGTTCAAACTCAAATACCATGGATCCATTCTTTACTCCTCTCTTTCTCTCACTCCCCACATCTACTTCATAAAGGAACCCTGGTGCCCAAGTCCCACTCTCAGAATAGAGCCACTTGCATCATCTCCTCCGTAGCTACTGTAATACCATCAGCTCTTGTCTGGGCTACAGCAGGAGCCTCCTAACTAGACCCCCTGCTACAGCAGTCAAAACCCCAGACTCATTGCCAACATCCAGCTAGAGCAACACTCAAGATGCAAATCACATCATGTCACTCCTCTGCCCAAACACTGTCATGACCCACCTCATGGAGAGTAGAAGTCAAGTCTTACAATGACCTAAAGGCTTTATAACATTGGCTCAAACCTTCTCAGACCCTGAATATCCATCTTAAATAAAACATTTTGTAGCATCATTTACCGTGCTGGAATAATATTCGATAATGACATCTTATGCACATCTAATTTTTGAAAGCTTAAATTACCACAACACTACAAATAATAATTTAAAGGAGAAATAAAAGGAAAGAAATTTACCCCCCACAGTATGTCATCTATAATGTTTACAAGCCACCATAAAAGATGATATTAAAAAACAGTAGCCTGGGGCACCTGGGTGGCTCAGTTGGTTAAGCGACTGCCTTAGGCTCAGGTCATGATCCTGGAGTTCCGGGATCAAGTCCCGCATCGGGCTCCCTGCTCAGCAGGGAGCCTGCTTCTCCCTCTGACCCTCCCCCCTCTCATGTGCTCTCTCTCTCTCATTCTCTCTCTCAAATAAAATAAATAAAATCTTAAAAAAAAAACAGTAACCTGTGCATTATTATAATGAAAAAATTTGGATTAAAGAGAATTAAGCAATTCAGAACCCGTTTAGTTTAAGAAGTCCAAGAAAAATGAGAACGCAGGCAGACACCAGCCTGAATAAGAACAGACTAGATTTATTAGTGTGTGCTGAGAGAAAGAAGGCAATAACTAATGCCAAACCATCCCTTCTATGAAGATAATGAAGCTGTATGACACTGCAAATGAGCTGAGCCTAATCTATAATGTGAGGGTAAGAACGATCCCTCATGCTTTGACATGGGACAGGCTAGTGATAAAGTTGTGCAGATGGCACATCTTGGCCTTGAAATCCCACTGTATATCAAAGCATTTAAATCAGTTGGCTATGTTAGGCACCATACAATACATCATTAGTTTTTGATGTAGTGATCCATGATTCATTGATTTCATATAACATAACATAATAAAATTAAATTAAATTAAATTAAATTAAATTAAATTAAAAAAATAAAATTTTTTTAAAAATTAAAAAAAGAATATAAAAAAATAATAAATCAGTTGGTTATTGCTGTATAATACTCACCCTGAAACTCATTGGCTTAAAAACAAAGGATTTAATCAACTATACTGCAATTTAAAAAATAAAATAAAAATAAAAAAATAAATGTAAAAAAGAATTTCATATATTTCATAATTTTGCGGATTGGCTGGGTTATTTCTCTACTTGCTTCCCGAGGGCCCTCATGAGACTGCGATCAGCTGAAAGGTCAGCTGGGTGAGAAGGTCCACGTGGCTTCACTCACATGTCTGCTAGTTGTGTTGGCTATTGGCTAGGGTGCCTCTGTTCTCCTCTGTGTGTCTGCTCATCCTCCAGAAGACGGACCAGCTAGCCCAGCTTCCTGATACAGCAGTGCCAGGACAGCCTTCCAAGAGGGCAAAAGCAGAACCTATATACAATCATGAGGCCTAGGCTCCAAATTCACACATCCCTTCTGCCACATTCTGTTGGTCAAAGCAAGTCACAAGGCCATCCCAGATTCAAGGGGTAGAAAAATAGACTCCACCTCGTTCAGTCCTTAGTACTTTAAAAGACCCTGGAAAGAATATCTATGGATGGGTAACAGGGAATGGAGGATGAATAAAGAAACATAATACATTCAAGCTTCTCTAAAGAGCTCAAGTGGTATAAATTTGGGGATAGTAACCACACAAACAACAATAATAATATAAAACTCTTATGTGGCATTTACCATTTGTCAGGTTCTGTTAAAAGTATTTGCATGTAATACCTCAATTACTCGTCACAGACATCCAGTGAGATGGTTGCTTTTATTATCACTATTCCACATATGTGGAAATCAGGCACAGAGAAGCTCAGCAATTTTCCTAGTCATGCCACTGATGGGTGGCAGTGTTGGCATTTAAAGCCAAATAGTCAGGAGGTCATGCTTTTAATCCTTGTGCCTTCTGCCAATTCTTATGAAGCAAAAGGCAATCCCCAAATCGCCCCTTATGTACTTTACATAATCGGTAGTCCTTATTATTAGGGTACTAAAAATTTAAAAATATGTAGAGGGCAACAAACTTTATAAATTAAATTCAATGAAACACTTACATTTCCTATAACTGTATTAACTTAATAATTAAAAGGCAGTCTCAAATATCCTCAGTCACATATTTGCAATTGGTTTAAGGCAGTAACTGAACTGCTTTACTAAAACCAGTTACAACGAACTGGGTATTGAGTAGCACATCTGGAATAGATTACTCAGTAAAGGTTTCAATAATTATAAGACAATGTTTTTATTCCATTCTAATTTGGGGGAAATAGACTAATTTATAGTGTGTGTGTATAACTTCTTATTTTAAAAAAGTTAACATTATTGGGCACCTCGGTAGCTTAGGTGGTTAAGTGGCTGCCTTCGGCTCAGGTCATGATCCCAGGGTTCTGGGATAAAGCTCCGTGTTGGGCTCCCTGCTTAGCATGGAGTCTTCTTCTCCCTCTCCCTTTGCCCCACCCCCCAGCTCATGCTCTCTCTCTCAAATAAATAAATAAAATCTTTTAGAAAAAAGTTAGCATTATTATGTAGCAAAGTACTACTAATTTCTATTTGCAGTAGGTTTTGAACATGAGGGCATTAAAAATTTCTAAGCACATGGTGGTACAATTATTCATTGCATATTATGTGCCTTACATACTGCAAGACACCTGGTGTCCCTGCTCACGCCCCCTAAACTCAAGTAGTGCCCCCCACTCATTTTGACAACCAAATTACCCTATAAATATTCAATGCCCCCTGTGTCTGACACCACACCCACTGGAACTGCTCCTCCACCGAGTGGGGTCCCCCCATCTCTTTGATCTCATCTCTTGCCTTTCTCCCCTTGGCTCACTCTTCTCCAAGCACACTGATTTCTTTGCTGTCCTTCAAACATGGTAATCACATTCCCCTTTTAGGGCCTTCGCATCTGTGGTTACTTTAGCTTGGGATGTTCTTCCCTCCTATGGTGCAATTGCTTGCTTTATCCGTGTCCCCAGTTAAATGCCCAATTATCCCTGAAGTCTCACCTAACCACCCCATATGAATTGTTGGCATTCTCCACCCGAAGCAGAACTACATTCTACCTTATCTTTTTTTTTTCCTTTTAAATAATTTTTATTGTTATGTTAATCACCATACATTACATCATTAGTTTGTGATGTAGTGTTCCATGATTCATTGTTTGTGCATAACACCCAGTGCTCCACGCAGAACGTGCCCTCTTTAATACCCATCACCAGGCTAACCCATCCCCCCAACCCCCTCCCCTCTAGAACCCTCCGTTTGTTTTTCAGAGTCCATCGTCTCTAATGGTTTACATTCTACCTTATCTTATTTACTTTTTCTCTATTGCACTTAGTAGGGCAGGATAGCATTGTGACTCAGCATGCCATCTCTAAAGTTAGACGGCTCAGGTTTGAAAAACGGCCACTTGTTAGCTGTGTGACATTGGGCAAGTTACTTAACTCTATGTGCCTCACGTTTCTAGTCTGTTAAATGGGGATGATAATAATAGAACCTATCGAAGAAGGTGATTTGAAGGCCAAATGATTTAATCATGTAAAGTAGCTAGAGCAGTGTTCAGCACAAAGTCAAATAGCAAACACTTTTCTGTTATGATTGTCTTACATGGAATGTTTCTTGATCACCTTCTCTGCTATAAAGTAAGTTCCATGAGAGCAGGGGTTTTGTTTAATACTTTATCTTCAGGGTCTAGAGTGTTCCCGGAACATAGAAGATGCTTAATGAGTATCGAATGGATTATGGAATTGGTTGTAAAAATGATTTTCCTCATTTGGGTAGTTTATTTTTTTTAATAATTTAAAAATCTCTTTTACACTTAACTGAACCTCTGCGAAAGAAGGGAGGTATTATTTTCTGCGTTGAAACCTGAGCTGATGAATACTTAGTAACTTGTACAAAGTCATCCTATTATTAAGCAATGGACTTTGAAATCGAACTCCCATTTTCTGACTCTTCCCTTTCTCTCTCTGTCTTCCTCGCTCTACCAGTTACTGACTCAATTCTTTTTAAAATGCCAGCAATGCATTTGGGAGTCAAACCTTAATAGCTGAATGGAAAAACCTAAGATATATTTATGTTTTCAGAAGTACACTAATGAGCAGCGAGGATATGTGCATATATATTGTAGGACTAACCATAAATTGACTCGTTTCCCCTTGAATTCCATCCCAGACAGTAGCTGTTGCATTACCTAATTCCAGTCACCTACTTTTGGTAGGGAGGGGAGTTTCAGACTGGATATATGATTATGATTATCTGCAGAATCACAAGTTTTAAAACCTTCTGTAAAGTGTTCCTTTGCTGAAGTGGCTTTTGAAGTCCAGAGTATCCTTTATAATCATTTAGTTTAAAGAGTTAAAAAAAAAAAAAAAAGAGGTCTGTTAAGAGTCCTCTGCTGTGACTTGGTAGGGATGGTGTTGGATAAGGAAAATAAACACCTTTCTCATAGAAACCGATTTATGATCATGCTTAAATATTGGACATGCAAATTCAGTTTTTAACATGCTATTTTTCTTGAGAACTATTGCAAAATCATGCCTCATTTTGTTTTCATCCACATAAACCCCGTATATGTATCATTTGGCAATTCCCTCCCATTAAAATGTTTTCTAATTTTTTTAAAAACATTACCATTTCTCCACTGGTAGGAATAACCTATATTAAAGTACTCAGCTCTAGTATGTGACGAAAAGGGATAAAGATGAAATGCGTTTTCAGTAGGCCTTATCTACTCTACAATCTTGACTAAGCCATTTATCTCAGTCTCAGTTTTCTTATCTGGAAAATGACAATATTTACAGTGTATGTTCTGCTTGCTTTTCAGAAGACTGATGTGAATAAAACAAACATTAACTTCAGCTCTCTTTCATTGAGACTCTCCTACAAGTCAGACAACGCATTAGGGGTTTACAGATAGGTTCTCATCTAATCATTGAGATACCCTTGTCAGATTGGCTCCATATTTTCATTCTACAGATGGAGAAACTATTGTGTGTCCAAAGATAAGCTTTTCCCAATAATAAGTATTTTGTGTTTTTTTAAAGATTTTATTTATTTATTTGACAGAGAGAGACACAGCGAGAGAGAGAACACAAGCAGGGGGAGTGGGAGAGGGAGAAGCAGGCTTCCCACAGAGCAGGGAACCCGATGTGGGACTCAATCCCAGGACCCTGAGATCATGACCTGAGCCGAAGGTAGACGCTTAATGACTGAGCCACCCAGGCACCCACAATGAAATGTGTTTTTACCATGATGCATCATCATCCCGAAAATAAATCTGCTTCTCAACTACCCCGTGTTATTAAGACGATGTATATTATTAGAGAGCGGGGAAAAAAAAGTCCAAGTGGAGAGAAAATAGCAACTCTTTCCAAAATGAAGAAAAAGAGAAGAGTTGTCTTACCTCGTAAGTGCTGGTGATGCCGGATCTGTAGAACACGGGGACAAAGAGTTCTGACGTGAGGATGATGACAAGTGCATACGCGATGAAGAAGAGCATGAAGGATGCCCCAAAGCGGTACACCTCGGAGGGGGCTCCCAGGACAGTGACAGCTGACATGAAGCTGGCTGTGAGAGACAACGCTACAGGGCCAAAGCTCATTTGCCTTCCCCCGACCAGGAACTCCCTTGAAGTTGCCTTTTTCCTCTCCTTAATAGCAAAGAACACCCCAATTCCAGAGGAAATGACAAAGAGGGCTGCAAATACAACATAATCCCAAACTGTGAAGCTCTTCGCCTCCATGCTGGGAAGTATGGCACCAGAGAGTTGCTTCAACCAGATCTCAGGGAGAAGTTGTTTCCAAAAGCAAAGCTCAGGGCAGTAGATGTTTTGCCAAGAGAAGAAACTGTGATTTTGGGAAGAGAATGATGACCACAGGCACTTCAGTTGATCTTCAGACACCAAACTGTACTCGGGGAAGACCCCAGAAGTTGACGACAAAGAAGAATCTGGTAGTGGTATTGGTACCAACAGATGAGAACTTGAAATCTGACCCGGCCAGGAGCTGTCTGTACCCCTACTAAAGCATGTGCCAGAGAAGGAATTCAGATGTGTTCTGAAATTAATAACCATGGGGGTGGAATGGACTTGCTAGATAACATGCTCTTTTATCTTCTAGATTTTTTTGATTTAAGGTTAAACATTATCGAGGAAAAAATGGAAGTGATACAAGTTGACCATCTCAGCATTTTTAATTAGTAAAATGGAATCCACAATATGCAACATCACCCTCAGGGGTGTCTTTTACCTGAATAAGGGAGGGTGGTGGAGGGGTACCTGTAATTTTCCGAGGCTGTGGGTGTGGAAGGAAAAGAGCAAAGGACTGCCAATCAAGAGACCTTTGCTCAAGTTGGCTCAGTTGTAAGCAAGCTGTGTAATTGTTGGCAAATCATTTAACCTTTCTGAGCTTCAACTGGAACATGGGGGTAATAAGACCTTAACGGGTTATTAGAGTCTTTAAATGTCTCAAACTTTCTACCCTCTTTTATCTGATCTGTAAAATGAAAGTTACTAATATCTACCTCATTGGCTATTATTGGTGTTTAGAGCAGAGCCCTCCCGAACATAATAGTTGATTCTCTCTCGACTCAGAAAATGGATTCACCAATAATTAATAAACTATCTGTAGTCCTCTATTTTATCTCCCTGTCTCTCCTTCATTTTGATATTTACAACACTTGCACTCGGAGGCTAAGTCAGAGTTAGTTTAGGACAAATGAGAAAAGGTAGGTGAAAATCCAGTTATAGATTCCTGTTTCTGCTCTTGTTAGAGGGTCAGTTGTCCTGAAGTATCCCCACTAAGCCTTTGGAGGACAGTTTCTCTATTGTTCTCTATTGTTCATACTTTTCCTCTTTCTCAATGACCTTCCCTGAGACCTAGCTCTACAAAGCCTGGTTATTCCATGAGATCTAGTTCCTGTCTCCTCTGCTCTGTGGAGCCTTCCTTGACTCACACCTGCCCTCTCCACCCCAGCTCCTGTGAGAAGCAGCCTCCCTTGGTACTCAGTTTGAACTCTGAGAGTATCCTCAGCTATGTGAAAGAACCTATATATATGTGTCTGTATAAGTCAGTCAGCTGTTGTAGATGACCAGCTTCTGAAAGATAGAGGCACAAGGCCTGGTCCATAGTGATCAAGAAATAGTAGCCACTGTAGAAAATAAGGAAATTGGGTGCCTGGGTGGCTCAGGCGATTAAGCATCTGCCTTCAACTCAGGTCATGATCTCAGGGTCCTGGAATTGAGCCCTGCATCAGGCTCCTGCTCAGCAGGGAGTCTCCTTCTCCCTCTCCCTCTGCCCCTCCCCCACACATGTGTTTGCTCCCTCCCTCTCTCTCAAATAAATAAATAAAAAATCTTTTTAAAAAAAGAAAATAAGGAAATAATAAAGCAAAAGAAGAAAATATAAATTATTCAATATGCCCCAAACCAGAAACATTTTTGTCAAACAGAGGAAATTCTAATTTTGCTTTTGACATTTGGATAACTGAACACATCTTTGATTATTTGTTTAATCTGGATACTGTCTTCACTCCCTACTTTGCTCCATGGGTTTCAATTAGGCCACAGGAAGCTCTGATGGCCAAGATACACTTTTAGTCACAAATAAATATGCAAAGACTCTGCCAGGAACTATCTGTGTCTTGTTAAAATTCCTCCCGTAAATTTGCAGACTTGATATGTTCCGTGTTAATGGGAAACTAGGCCTTTAATATTTTTATTTTAACCTAGGCTTTTAATTATTTTTATCGTGCAGTATTATAATTATATAATGGGGCTTTGTAACAGTCTCAGCAGAAAATCAGAACTCTGGTTTTCAGAGACTTGATTACCTTATGCTTTAATATTAACACCAACTAAGAGTTAATATTCAATCCACAAGGCTTGTGAACAACTTGTTCCGGTCAGGTGAATATTTGTTCAAAACATTATCATTATATCCTTGAGGTCCCAGGGTTAAATACCAGAAGCTTGCAGCTGACGAGTCTATGAGTACTGCTGTTTTTAATGAACCACTGTCAAGACACAGTATTGTCTACATAACTTCCATTAGTCTTAGATTTCAAAACCATGGGGAAGTAGAGTGGTTAATGGTTTGGTATGTGAAGGAAGCTTCATGCCTCTCATAATAAAATATTCCTTGCTCTCAACATTTTGCTGACTATAAGGCACAGCATCAATTTATTAAGTTAATTCTCAATTATTTCCCATTTTAAAAAAATCTTTTTCTCCCTTCAGTAGCATTCAGTGTCTTCAAACTCTCTTCCTTCTTCCCAGAGAAACTCACTCTATGCAAGATTCATGATGATTACAGGGCATAGAATCAACTTATTCATAACTTTTCAGGGAAAACAACAGAACCAGCACATTCAATGGCTATATCAATTATTTTTTAAAAGATTTATTTGTTTGTTTGTTTATTTATTTATTTATTTGAGAGAGAGAGAGAGAGCAGGGGAAGGGGCAGAGGGAAAGAGAGATAAGCATACTGCCTGCTGAGTGGGGAGCCTGACGTGGGGCTTGATCCCAGGTCCCTGAGATCATAACCTGAGCCAAAGTCAGGAGTCAGACGCTAAACTGACTGAGCCTGCCAGGTGCCTCAATGACTATATCAATTAGAAGGCACATCCCTATATCATAAATATTAACATGGAAGGGAGGGGAAATGTACTTCTTTGATCTGGAGAAACCCCAGTATCTCCTGCACCCTTTTGCAGGTGCTCCAAATGCAAACATTTGCACCTTATTCCTTAGTGTCAGGTGGGAAACTTTGTTAGAGGGTAAGACATCATCACCTGCTCCCCCTAACACACACACACACACACACACACACACACATTCTCCCCTAATGAGGCTCCATTATCCAATTACCCACTGCCTAATAGGTTAGAATTGTTGTTGTTATCAGTAATAGTCTCCTTAGTGTAAAATAGTTCTGCACTTTGTTTGGAGCAAGTTCTAATGGGAGAAAAGAGAGAGTTTGAGAACACTGAATGCTACCAAAGGGAGGAAAGGGTAAAGAAACTGACAAGATTAGACATCTGGAGGAATAGTATTGGAGACTTGGCATAGGAATGAAGACAAGAAAACAGTACAAGAATCTGTCTTGTGGCAGAGAAATTTCTCAAAACCAGTGTCAGGAGAACCAAAGGGGTCCTAACAATGAAAATAATTAATATTAAATGTTAAAATTGTTAGAATTTTTTCCAGCTTTATTGAGATATAAGTGCCATATAACATTGTATAAGATTAAGATGTATAATGTGATGATTTGATACACTTACATATTGCAAAATGATTACCATGAAAGGGTTAGTTGATGCATAATTTCCCATAATGACCTTTTTGGGGGGTGGGGAGTGAGAACATTCAAGATCTATTCTCTTAGTATCTTTTAGGTATATAATGCCATAGTGCTAACTATAGTCACCATGTTGTACATTAGGTCCCCAGATAAATGTTAAATTTTTGTCATGTTGTACTGGAGTGTAATTCCCTTCTGTATCTCAACGTTTATGGAAAAGCTGCTACATCACTGAGATTATATCAGTGTATATTCATCATTACACTAAAGGGAAAAGAGGTTGTGATCACTTTTGGGTTCAAAATGCAGAAGGAGAGCGGAAAACTATTGAAGGAAGTATGACACATAGGGGAGACTGAGAACCCAGAACCCAGAAGAAACAAAAATTGGAAAAAGACCTCCTGACAGTATGATCTTTGAGACTGAGGTATGGAAGACCATTTGGTATCCTATTCTATCAAAGTCAGGAGCTTTCTAGTCTTTTTTTTTTTTTTTTTTTTTGCCTTTGTTTGTCTTTCTCTCTTTCTTTCTTTTTCTTTCTTTCTTTCTTTTTCTCTTTTCTTTCTTTCTCTTTTCTTTCTTTTTTCTTTCTCTCTTTTTCTTTCTTTCTTTTTTCTTTCTTTCTTTCTTTCTTTCTTTCTTTCTTTCTTTCTTTCTTCTTTTCCTTCCTCCCTCCCTTCCTTTCTTCCTTACTTCCTTTCTCCTTAATGTAAATGGAAGGGTGCTCTGAGAAGGCTGGAGGATTTAGGGCACCGAGGAGTTGACACTTGAATTTCATTTACATACTCTCACTAGAGAAAAAAGCTGTTCCCAAGCCCTGGTGTAATATAGTGGAAAACATCCTTTATCTGCAGCAAGAGACCCAGTTTCTTTCTCTACCCTGTCACTAAGCTGTTTTGTGATTTTGTTACTATTTTCTCTAGTTCTTAGTTACCACATTTGTAAAAATGATGGTATATCCTATTAATAATTAGATACCTAGATTAATCTAAGTAACTAAATCACTTTTCAAGTCTACTCAACTGTTACCTTCTTTGATCAATCTATTTAAATTGCAAACAACCACTTCCAGATCTTTCTTCTCCACTTTATTTTTTTTCTTCAAAAATGTATCCTCTACTAATATACTATATAATATTTTATTTTTTTAAAGATTTTATTTGTTTATTAATTTGAGAGAGAGGGAGCACGAGCAAAGGGAAGAGCAGAGGCAGAGGGAAAGTCTGCACTGAGCACAGAGCCCAATGCGGAGCTCCAATCCTCAACCCTGAGATCATGACCAGAGCTGAAATCAGAAGTCAAATGCTTACCCGACTGAGCCACCCAGGTGCCCCACTATATAATATTTTAAATATTAACATCCCTCCACTAAAATGAAAACTTTCTAAAGGGATTTATCTATTTTGTTCTCAGAGGTACGCTCAGTATCTAGAAATTTCTG